AGACAGAGGGGAGAGAGAAGAGAGAAAAAACAGAGAGAGAGATAGACAGAGAAGAGAGAGGAAACAGAGGGGAGAGAGAGAGAAGAGACAGAGACGGAAAAGAGAGAGGAGAGAAAGAGAGAGAGACAGAAGAGAGACAGAGGGGAGACAGAGGGGAGAGAGAAGAGAGAAAGACAGAGAGACAGACAGACAGACAGAGAAGAGAGAGAGGAAAGGGGGGGAGGGAGAGAGAGGAGAGAGACAGACAGAGGAGAGACAGAGACAGAAAAGAGAGAGGAGAGAGAGACAGATACAGAAGAGAGATAGAGGGGAGAGAGAAGAAAGAAAGACACACAGAGAGAGAGACAGACAGAGAAGAGAAAGGAAACAGAGGGGAGAGAGAGAGAGAAGAAGGAGGAGGAGGAGGAGGAAGAAGAAGAAGAAGAAGAAAAGAGACAGTCAGAGAGAGAGCAAGACAGAGAGCAAGACGGAGAGACTGACCCCCAGGAATCAGGTGTTGTTTACCTTTCCTCTTCACGGGAAGGTCTGCTCCTGACATGGGCAGGAGATTCAAGGGAGGAGAAATGTCACTATCTACTTTACATTGCTCTGGTGTTGTTCAGAAGGACAGCCAAGACAAGAGGCAGAAAACCTCTGAGAAGGGTGTCTTCTTCTTGAGCGGCCAGAGAGCAGTGGTCAGGAGGCAGATCAAGACAGGTCATGCCATGGAAGATCTCAGGACTGAGTAAGAGACAGAAACCCTTTGGTGTCTGTGTCAGGGTGTCTGGAGAAGGTGCCAAGGTGCTTCTCTAAATGTGATAGATCAATGACAGAGAAAAAGATCTGAACATGGACTGTGCCTTCAATTCCTGTTACCTTGTCGAGGAGTAGAGGGGGTTGAAGATTGGGTAGAAGAGTTAAGTGCAGAGTGGGTGGGTGGGGGTCATCACAAGCTTGTGAGTAGAGGGGACAGGAGAGGATTTTTGAGGGTCAGTAGAGCTAGAGGTTTGTTTTGTAAAATTTCTACGATTAGAACGAGGCGCTTGGCTGAGGGCGCAGACAGGGAGGGGTGACAGAGTCACAAGGGTCAAAGTCAGGCTTATCAAATGATAGATTGTGGCTTCAGAAGGTTCGTGGAGGAGATAGAAGAGAGAGAGTAAACAGGAGAAGCAAGGGAAGTTTTAGCCAGAAGAACTTGATGGGATTGAATAGGATTGAAGGAGGAAGCGCTGAGAGATTTGAGGTAGAAAGCTTGGACGTGAGAAATTTCACCATCTTGACAGATTCCCCTGCAAAATTATCAAGATCTTGCAGGATAATCCATTCCAAGTTTCCGTTTTCAGGCCAAGGAGTTTCACTGTCGAAATGGTGCTGTGGCCAGATTCGAGGACAAACTTTAATAAGTCTTTTGTTGGTTTTGTTATACATATTCCTCCAATCCTGAGGACAAAAGGTCGGAATGGAGATGGTCTAAGAAGGGAGTAGGTTTAGATGGTTTAGAAGGGTTGGAGCCCATGATAGGGGCGGAGAGTAACAGAGAATACAAAGGAGTTAGGGTTAGTTAGAAAGCGTCCCCTGTGCCAGACAGGACTCCACGGAAAAGTCACCAACACCAGTCAAACCGTCCTTTGACCAGGGCGTGACACGGCAAGAGTCTTCTCTGCCAAGCCTGGGCTTCGAGACAGAGAAAAGAAGACAAGATAAGACTTGTAGAATCATAGAACCTCTGCTTACCTGTAAGGAGGTCTTGCCCCATCAGTGGGGTCTTGTCCGGCACAGGAAAGGGGCCAATCCACCAGGAATGTCTTCCTGCCCAAGTTTGGCATCAGATGAAAGGTTTTGGGTCAAAGCCAAGAACCACGCTGAGGTAGAAACATTTCTCAGAGTTTATTGCATGCCTGGGGGTTGGACTTAGGAGGTTTATATGGGGCTATTATTATATGGGGCTATATTGGTTCATTGGGGCATTCTTGGGGAAACTGGTTCTGGGGAATGTCCAGACATAGGATTTTCTGAGTTCTGGTTTCAGAAATGATCCATCCTGACATTGGATTTTGTGAGCTCTGGTTTCAGAAAATGTCCTGACATAGGAGTTTCTGAGTTCTGATTTTGGAAGATATCCTGACACCAGGTTTTTGGGTTGAGCTTCAAATCACCTTTTCGATTTGTAGACACATACATGCTCAAGGCATTCTGTGACGTCTGGACGGCAAGATCTCCAGTAAAAAGGGAATGCAGACTTAAATTAAAAAAAAGAAACATCAGGAAGCAAAGAAGGAGTGTTAAAGACTGCTCTTTGCATTATCCTGCTTGACAGGATTTAATAAACCAGTAATACTCGAGTGACTTTGTAATATGCAGAAACAGCACTGAAAAATTACTATACAAATAGCTACACTGATGCATCCTTTTAAATGTACTAAATTTTCAGCTGTTGAACTTTTCTAGTATGGTCAAAGGCTCGAGTTGTGTTTTACTAATTTTAAGTTACATGAAACAGTGTTGAACAACTGTAAACAAACAAATTAAGGGGTTGTTGTTGTTGATTGCCTTCGAGTCGAGCACGACTGGTGGTGACCGTATGAACAAAAGACCTGAAGCCCCTGTACAACTATAGACATTTATGAAAGTTCAGAGGGTTTTTGGAGGCAGGTTGTTTAGGAAGAAGATGCCAGTCCTGCTTCCAAACCTGTCAGAGTATGTTGCTTTTATATGCTATTGATTCTTTTGCAATGCATACAGACCCTATGTACACCAGCTCTGAACTCTTCCCTAATCCTGAGTCAATCTCACTAATTCTTACAGACCAACTCTCACCACCCCAGTTACTATAGGAATCCATCTCACCCGAGGTCTCCCTCTCCTGTGCTGTCCATCTATCCTTCTGACCATGATGTCCTTCTCCAAGCACTAATCTCTCTTGGCAGGAGTATTTTTCAACTTCTAACGTTGAGTCTAATGCAAGTGGCTTGTTGAACTTTGCTCTCTTAGCTGGCCAACTTATCTCTGAAACAAGGCTCAGGGTCTCGAATAAAACTCAGTGTTCAGGTTACCTGCAGGAAAGGGAGCAAACCTAGAAAGAGAAAAAAAAAAAAACAAACAAACTTGTGAGTTACAGAGAAAAAGGATTTCAGAAGTGTTACTTACTGGTATACTAGAAATGGAGGAAAGTGGCTTAGATAAAGTTTCTCCTACATCATTTGATGGGCTCAATTTAAGCCTACTTCTGGTGTTAACTTTAATTCAAAGCAAGGCTAAAGCAACCCTTGATTACAACTAGAGGTGTCTTTCCTGACAGGTCTCAGTCACCAGCTTCATTTTTATTATCACTTTGAAGGCATTCAGAAACTCAAACTTGATCTTTTCTTTCTTCACTTTATTTCTTAGGACCTTGTTAAGCATGGTTTACGAGAGACTCTGACCTGCCAGTTCTGGGCTTGAATAAAAAAAGTGGTTTGTGCAGACAGTCTTGCTTTGTTTTTAAGAGCAGACTATCTTAACTGGGGCTGACATACATAGGAAGAGTTATTTTTCTTTTCGTTTTTCACTGAAGTCTTCCAGGGTTAGAATTTCAGGGAGAACTAGTTTTTAGTGTCCTTGATTTTTGTTACGTATATTTCTCTTTTTTCCTATGTGGGTTCTTTTTTTTAAATTTTTCTTCTTGGGGGGTTTTCTTGAGGTCCAATCATCTTATTTTTGGTGATGTTTCTGAAGACAGCATTATTTGGAGGTGTCTGGCATTTCTTGGTTGTTGAATAACGGTCAACTCTGCTGGGTTGAGTTTTTGCCAATGGCTCTGTTTATCTTTTGTAGGTTTGTTTTGTTTTTTCCCCCCTAATGTCAAGGATGTTCTGGGAAACAAAAGCCTGGTTAATTATTCAGACTCTAGCAGAGTTTTTTGAGCTAAGGTCTGTGTATTTAGAGAAAGCTTGGTGCAGACTTTCAAAAACTGGAAAGGATTTCCATTTGGTTGCTGCAGAACGGCTTCAGTCATTTTCAGGATTGCAGTTTGTTGTTCTTTGTTTTGTCTTTTTTTTTTCTCTTGACTCTAGAGTGTCTATTTTGTGTTCCCCCTGCCATAGGCTTCTGCCATTTGGATCCTAAGTAGTCTTAGTGAAACAATTGTCTTCAAATAAATCTCCCTGAAGGCAAGCTGCTACCATGAGACTCTTCTCTTCACCAGCCAGAAGCTGGGTTTTAAAAAGTTGAATCTGCTTATGTAGCAAAGAAAATAGTGATGATTAAGTTTGTTATTTTAATAATCACCTTAAAAGGAAGAGTCTGAAATTTTTATTCTTATTTTACTCACTTTGAGTGTTCTGAGGCAGAGAAAAGAGAATGTTCTTCATAAGATGTTTGGGTTGCCCATTTAGATTATAGGGTCCCTGGTAACTATTTGAGGGGGTATTTGGCCTTGTTCTGAGTAGCCCTGGCCGAAAGGATATGAGGTGAAAAAAATTTTATTAAGCCGTTTTTCTTTAGTTTTCCTGGTGAGTGACACTTTTAGGTTTTTACTATTAAGTGTGACGGGCATACGAAAAAATCACTTGGCAACCAGCTCTGGGCAGCCAGGGACATGTTTATTGTGGGAATAGCTCTTCTGTCAACCACAAATCCAATGGATGCTACCGTTGAAAGCTGAACAACGAAAGAACTATTATTTTTCGAAGAGAAGAGTGTACTGGCCAGGGAGGGGTAAGCAGGAAGAAAAGTGCAACAATGAACGAATGGAAATCCAAAGCCTCTGTAAATTTTCATCAAAATTAATAATAAAAAGATTTTTTTAAAAAAGAAAGCTGAATAAATGTTAGAATGCTGAGTGAGTCAATGACTGACATACGATCTTGTATCTTTAAAAAAAAAATTATTACATTGAGTGTTTTCTGTGCCCCATGCCTTCCAGTCGACTCTCATTGGTTTCAGAGAATTAGGAAGTGCCCCAACACGTGCATATGCAATTGTTTTGTTTTACAGGTGTTCACAGCTTCCGTCTAGAAAGAGAGGAACTCTGGATATGCACAATGAAGTCTTGGTAAGTGGAATGATTGTCATAGTTTGTGCTGTGAGATGCTATCTTGCCCGCTATGACTCAGAGTGACCCTACGCACAACATATGGAAGCCCAAAATTGTGCTCGCCTCAATGGTCTCTGGATTGGGAAACTTTGATGTTCAAGCAGGCACTATCTACCTTCTCCTGGTCTCAAGGTTGTAGATGTTGACATTCAAGCGGGCACCATCTACGTTCTCCTGGTCTCAGGGTTGTGGACGTTGATGTTCAAGCGGGTACCATCTACGTTCTCCTGGTTAAAGCGTTGTGGACGTTGACGTTCAAGTGGGCACCATCTACGTTCTCTTAGTCTCAGGGTTGTAGACGTTGACATTCAAGTTGGCACCATCTACGTTCTCTTGGTCTCAGGGTTGTGGATGTTTGACATTAAAGCAGACACCACCTACATTCCCCTAGTCTCAGGGCTGTGGATATTGACTTTCAAGTGGGCATCATCTATGTTCTCTTGGTATCAGGGTTGTGGACGTTGACGTTCAAGCGGGAACCATCTACATTCTCCTGGTCTCAGGTGTGAACACTGAGGTCCAGGGGCTCCATTCATCCTTTGAGTTCATTGCTTCAGTCCATATTTGTGTTTTTCTCTTCTCTCTTTGAATGATCACATCTTGCTTTTTCAAGGTGGTGTCCCATTGCGTTGACCACACTGCTTCTGCTGTTGGAAACGTGTGAAGCCATACGGGCGAATGATCCTCGTCCAAATATTTTACTGCTGTTGGTGGATGATCTTGGGATTGGTGATCTAGGTTGCTATGGCAATGACACCATCAGGTATGACCTTTAATGTCAGTAAGTAACTATTTTTGGTTTTAATTTTTATATAGTGTGCATACTACACTTGTAGAGATTGTGTTTCACACTTTCATTCACATTATGTTTCATGCAATTATGCCCACAAATTGTGTTTTAGAAACTTAATTCTCATTAAATTACACCCCTATCTCTTTAGGTTCCCATCAAATCTGTCCCATTTCCTCTACCCCCCACCTCTCTCCATCCACCAAATTGTACAACCCTGTGATTTACCCCTGCCTGCTCTCTCTCCTCAACTCTCACCCCTTCCCCCCTAAAGTCCCCATACATGTTTTACAAATTATACTTCTATGGCTACAACAATATTATTTCGTATTTGTCCTGTTGAGTTCACTCAGCGTCATGTTCTCCAGTCTCTCCCAAGTTCTGTAGTAATTCTGAAATCACTGCTACTGAGTGCTGCATAGGATTCTGTCCTGTGACTGTATCACAGTTTCTCAATCCATTCGATTATGGTTGGACATCTGGGCTGGTTCCAAGTTCTTGTGATGGTGAATAACATTACTATGAACATCAGTGTACAAATCTCCATTGTGTCTCAGTTCTCATTCCCTGATGGTCAATTCCTGGGTATTTATGAAATGTCTATTTTCAGCTTTTTGAGTTCGTAATGTTTTCACCCTTGGGCAAGTCTGAGACATTATCAACCCCATAACAGAATGGATTATGTTTTCTTGAATCCTTTTTTCCAAGTGACTCTTACGACTTGATGAGAATTTAGAGCAGAAATCTGCCTATTGAAGGTATTTGTGATAACATCCATTCTTGAAATTTATAGGAACTGTTAATTGATTCACAATTGCTCAGTGGAGTGTCTCAAAGTTTCTCTTCAATCTTTCAATGAGAGACAGGTTCAGAAAACCCAGGAGTCATTTCTTTTTAGGACTCAATCAGACCTATCCAGGCAGTGAATGTCTAGGTGGAATCCCTGGGTGGTACAAACCATTAAATACTCAGCTGTTAGCCAAAAAAGGTAGAGGTTCAGAAGCGCTCAGAAGAAATTTGAGATGATGAAGAAATCTCATTCTTGCTGGCGGGAATGTAAAAGGGTAAAACCATGAGGTGATTATAGTAGAGTAGCACTTCCTCAAAAAAGCTAAACACACACATATCATTTCCCCCAGATAACCCACTCCTTGGAATATGCCCCCAAGAAATTAGACCTGGGTCACAAATGGATGTATGCACACCCATGTTTATCACAGCGATATCCACAGTCGCAAAGAGATGGGTGCAGCCCAATTGCCTGCCAACACATGAACAGATAGAGAAATAATGGTAGGTCCACCCAATAGAATATTATGCAGCAGTGAAACACAGCGAACTCATCAAACACTATACCACATGGATGAGTCTGGAAAACATTATGCTGAGGGAAAAGAAGGTCTAAAGAGTCTATTCCTGAAACCCCTTGGGGGAGAGTTGTATCCCGACAGACACAGGGACCCTGAAAGTCAAGAGAGGACTTGAAGTGGACAGAACAACAAATTACAGCATAACCATTTTTACGTGGAGGGAATCCTATGGAAAAGACATCTGGACTGCCTACTTTTTTTGGTAGATAGAGATTGCTGACTGGAAGGAGTCCTGGTGGCGTAGTGTATTTTAAGTTGGAGTAGTAACCCAAAGGTTGGATGTTCAAATCCAACAGCTGCACTATGGGCATGTAGGCAACGAAGTAAATTCCTTCTGTAGAGATCAACAGCCTGGCAAATCCATGGGAAATCTTTAGGACTTGAGATTATCTCAAAGGAGGCGGATTTGTTATTTCATTTGTTGATGGAGATGGACTTAACATCATCTTTTCTCTGCTGTTCTCCAGGACCCCCAATATCGATCGGTTGGCGAGAGAAGGGGTGAAACTCACCCAGCATATTGCAGCAGCCTCTATGTGTACCCCGAGTAGAGCTGCCTTCCTTACCGGCCGATACCCTGTCCGAACAGGTGAGTAGACATGTCTTCTATCCCTTCTCCTATCGAGAGTAGGAATCATCTGACGCATTTCCTGGGATCATGTCAGCGTTCAGGGTCCTTTGGTTAACAATCCGCAGATGTCAACTTGTTTGGTCGGATGGCACAAACCTCCAATAACAGAAGTGCCCTTCATGAGAAGTGGTTGTTTAAATGTCTCACTCACCTTCGCTGACCTTTCTCTATATCAGGCATGATGTCCTCTTGAAACCACCAGACGCTCTGCTGGAGAAAGGAGGGACAATCTCCTTCCATACTAGTCAGATCTGACTTGACAGTAGACATACCAAAAATTAAAAAAAAAATAAAAACAATTAAACACGATATCATTTATGATCCATGGATCTCTCCGGATGATGTCTCCAAATAAGACCAAGTTTTGCCACCCTCAGGGGTGCCCACATTGGAAAGCAAAGATGAAGAGCATTGTTACAATGACGACGTGTTCTACCAGTCCGTTTACTTGAGTCACTGTGCCAGGTACTAGAGAGCAAAGTATGCTAGAGATTAGTGCTCTGATAACATTATGGGGTATTGCGTTCCATGTTTAATTCTCTCATGATTATTTAGCTTATCAGGTCATAGATAATCCATCCAAAGTGTTTGATGAGGTGTACAATTCAAACAAAGCTAAGCCGTCCTTTCTTCAAGGAAAGTAGGAGCAAGGTTCACAGTATCGTAGCCTTTCATAACTGCTTGGATCATAATTGTTGTTGTTAAGTGCCGTCGAGTCGTTTGCGACTCATAGCGACCCTGTGTACAACAGCCCTAAACTCCGCTCTGTTCTGTGCCAATCTCACTGCCTCTGACACACCCATCCCGATTACCCTAGTCACCGAATCAATCCACCTCATAGAGGGCCTTCCCCTTCTGCACCATCCCTCCACCCTCCCAAGCATGATGTCCCTCTCCAAGGACCTGTCCCTCCTTCCAACATGTCCAAAGTATGTCAGATGAAGCCCCAGAATCCTTGCCTCCAAGTAACAGCCTGGTTTAACCCTCTCTACGATGAATCTGTTTGTTTTCTTCTCCAGCACCACAGCTCAAAGGCATCAATTCTCCTATCCTCCCTAGTCATTGTCTAACTCTCTGATGCATAACAAGTGATTGCAAAGACCATGGCCTGTATCAGGCGCACCTTAGTCTCCAGAGAGACACTGTTGCTCCTGAGTACTTTAGAGAGGTTCCTAACAGCAGACTTTCCCATTGCAATACGTCTTTTCATTTCCAATCCAAATTGTTGGGGAGTCTTTTTCTATTTTGTAGACCCTCCTCCCCGCCTAGCATGCTGTGTCCCTTTCCAAAGAGCAACCTCTCCTAGCAACATGCCCAAAGTAAAGGAGATGCAGTTTTGTCATCTTTGCCTCCAAGGAGCTCTGTCGTTTCTCTCCGTCCAAGACAAATCTGTGCTTTGCTTAGACCATGGGATAGTCCATAAGAAATAGCCAACGGTTCTTAATAAGCAGTAATCATGAGACTTCTTTTATCCATCCTAGGTATGGCTTCAGACAACGTCGATCGTACGTGCTCTGTTTTCACAACTCTTGGGTTTTCTGGCGGCCTCCCCCGAAACGAAACTACGTTTGCAGCTATTTTGAAGAAGAAAGGCTATAAAACCGGACTGATAGGTAAAAACAATGGCAGCATGTGTGTTTCTAATAGAGCAAGGAATTGTTAGGACAGCAAAAAAGGAGAGAAAACATAGACATTGAAAGGAAGAATAATTTTCCAACTCAAGTAGTGATTTAAAACAAACAAACAAAAACCAAAACACCGAGAACTATCAACTCAAGAAGTCATTTCAAAATGAAAGTATTGTTGGGCCCTGATCGAGTCCTGATAGTGCAGTTGCTAAAACACACCAAGGCCAACCTCAAAGTGAGTGGTTCAAACCTCACTGCCTTGTCTACAACAGAAGAAGATGATTTGCATCTGTACAGCCTGGGAAATCAGATCAGATTATTCTGTTTTGTCCTGTGGGGTCCCAGTGAGTCTGAATTGACTCCATAGCAAAGAGCTTGGCTTGTAAGATCTATTTTCAGGGGCTTCTCCTGCCTCATGACGTAGTTGTGACTGTGTCTGTTGTGTGTTCACTTCACTGTTAAAACATTTGAAGGAAATTCTGGCGACTTAGCCGCTAAAGCTTTGCAAAGCTACTACAAAAGTAGGTGGTTCGAATCCACTACTGTTTTCCTGGAGAAAGATGGGCGATGTCTTCCTGTGTGGCTTAAGTCTCTGAAATCCCACTCGAGGGTCAGCTGGGAGTTTGCGCTGACTTAAAAGCACAAGAAAAACAGCAAAACCAAAGATCTGTTTTTATCGTCTCTTTATCCGTGAACCCCTAACGGTATGGTACGGTACCCGGGCCACCAGGTGAACTTTCCCAGTTCTACCAGGTTGTGTGGGAGGTTGGCTTCTTTCTCTTATTCTCACGGCAACTTCCAGAAGAATAACAATTAGCTGTGGAAACAGACCCTTTCATTTCCAAGTGCAAAGGGAAGGGGGTCACAGAAGAGCTAAGACCATTATAACACGAAATAGACAATCTGGGTGCATTCCACCGTGCTTGAGATTTGATGTTGCTTAACACGGGCATTCGATGTGTCTCCTGCATTTGCACAATTAAATACAAGGCCGTTATCATTGCAGTAGCCAAACAGAACATTTCAATCCACATTCTCTTCTGTCTGGCACCTCTCCTGTTTTTCTTCTCTCTCTCTCTCTCTCTCTCTCTCTCTCTCTCTCTCTCTCTCTCTCTCTTCATCTGCACCTCCCTCCCTTCCTCTCTTCATCCCTCTTCTTGTTCAGGCTCTGCCTTTTCTTTCTCTCTCTCTGCCATGTCCTCTATCTGCCATGTCTCTCTCTCTCTCCCTCCCCCTCTTTCCCTTGCTCCCTCCCTCCCTGTCTCCATCTATCCCTTTCCTGTTCACATTCTGCCTTTTCTGTCTCTCTCTGTGCCATGTTTTTCTCTCTCCATCTCTGCCTCTCTCCCTCCCTCTCTCCCTCTGTCTGTCCCTTTCCTCGTTTACACTCTGCCTTTTCTCTGTGCCATCTCTCTGTCTCTTCACCTCCTTCCCTCTCTCCCACCCTCTCTCCATCCTTCTCCCCATTTCTACTCTGCTTTTTCTGTCTCTCTCTCTGCCATGTCTCACTCTTTCTCTCCATCTCCTTAGGTTTCTCTGGGTCTCACCTTCTCTCTCTCTTTCCAGGTCCTTCTCAGTTCCTGTCTCCATCTCCTTGGCCTCTCTTCCTCTCTCCAGCTCGTTCTGTTTTTCTCTGCCTCTTGTGCATCCCTTCTCCCTATTTCTTCCACGTCACCTCTCTTTCTGCATCTCTGTCTACATATCTAGTGCCTCCATTCCTCCATGTCTTCTCTCTTTCTCTCTCTGCATGCCTATTCCCACTCCTTTTCACTCTCTTTCCCCTTTCTCCCTCCGTCTTTCATCATTTTTTTTCTCTCTCACTCTCTCTTCCCAGGCAAATGGCACCAGGGTTTGAACTGTAAGTCCCGATTGGACCATTGCCACCACCCTCTGAGGTACGGCTTTGACTTTTACTACGGTATGCCGCACACTCTCACCCCTTTTTGCTCGCCGGACCCTTCGAGGGACACAGAATTGACCATCAACGACAAGCTGTGGCTCTGTGTGAAGCTGATTGTGCTGGCCATGGTGGTTCTCATGGCTGGGAAGTTTTGTGGCTGGTTCTACGTGTCCTGGGCTCACATCATCACCTTGGCTATGTTCATCTTCCTCCTGGAGTACGCCTGGTTCTCCAGCTTGACATCTGCCGTCTACTGGGATTGCGTCTTGATGCGTGGACACGAGGTCACGGAGCAGCCCATGAAGGCGGAGCGAGCTGGATTCATCATGGTGCAGGAGGCGAGGTCTTTCATTAGCAAGTAATGCTCCATTTTCTTCCTCACCCCTCTGATGTCCTATCTTTTCTCACTATGGGATGCATCTCTTCATGTGGGCTTAGTGTCCAGCAAGGACAGAATGACAGAACCCACTTGTAGAAACAGGACCATCTCAGATAATGGGCATTTGATTCGGGGACTACTTGTATTTCACAGGATTGGAATGTTTCACAGAGTTCAGCGTATTCTTCCAGCATTGCTTTTAGTAAGTTTTATGGTATAAGGATTTTTTTTCCTTCCCCTTGGAATGATGAGACATCATGAAGACTCATTCACAATGAGTCTACATTCACTGAAAAAGGGAGAATATGAACCTTGGGAGAGAATATTACACAAACTAGAAATGAAACAGTCACCTTTTGAGTGATTAAGTGCCTCTGAAAACCTAACAGAGAGTCAGCTATGAATCAGTTCTGATACGACGGTATGCAACAACAACAAGAAAGAGCTACTAGCCACACATAACTAGTGACTTGAATTTACAAGCCCGTCCATGGGCGAAAGGTAGGAAATCTCCTTATAAAATTTTTAGTCTCTTCGGATCCACTAGATAGATGCTCTGCTGAAGAAGGAGGGACAATCTCCTCCTGTACGAGTCAGATGAGGGACAATCTCCTCCTGTACAAGTCAGATCTGATCTGACTGGTACACACACACACAAAATAATTTTTTTTTAAATTAAAAACCAAAACAAAGCAAACTTTTCAGTCTTTGAAAACCAATGAAGGTTCTCCATGAGCCGTAACAACTCGAGGGCCACAGGTTTGGGGTTTTGTTGTTTTGTTTTTTTTTAAATTCAACCCCCTCACTTAAACTCAGTTGCTAACACCACCATAGTCTGTTATAAGTGTACCTCCCAGGCTTTGTGGATTTGGGTCGAGACCGCTGAAATTCAGTGATTAATCATACACAGTTGCCCAGCGTGGGCAAAAGCGATTCTCCCATTACCCTGTCCTCTATGAAGAGTGTGATAACGTGGTGAGAATGCGTGAAAAATTGCCTGGAATTACCAAACTTACACACAGGAATAATTGAGCATGTGTGATAAAAAAACAAAAACAAAAACACACAACATCAACAAGAAGGCCATGCTAGACTTGCTTGACAGAAATATTTATGCAAAAAGTTGCACGGTCCATCCCAGGTCATGTGGTTCAAATCCACCAGCTGCTACGTCAGAGAAAAATGGACAGTCCTCTCCTGTGTGATGTCCTGCCTCTGAGAACCCACTGACGGGTCAGTTATGAGTTGGTTTTGCTTCTAGGATACATCTCGTAATGTATCCCCAAATACTGGGAACATCACTATTTATATAGCCTAATATCAAATGAGTTTCACTTTTAATGAGTTGTCTGTTTGGTGGGACATGACACAGTGCTTCATAGAGTTCATCTGTCCATTTAGAATTACAACATCAGTTACAGAAAAAAAATAATATTTTCCATCGCTTGTTGGAATAAGCCGGCTCATCCATTTTTTTTGCGTGGTGATTGTAGAATGTATATTCTTTTTTAAAAAATTAATTTTAATGAAAGATTACAGAGACTTAGGGTTTCCATTCATTCGTTGTTGCACTTTTCTCCCTGCCTCCTCCCACCTCCCCAATTCACTCTTCTCCTTGAAAAGAAAAAGAAAAACTCTTTCATTGTTATGCAATCCTTCCCCCCAAGTGCAGCCTTCATTCTGGACCCCTGTCGTGTCAAGAAAACCCAATCATATATCCTTTGTACTGTATTCTTTTTGTGCAGAAAAAATGTGGTTTGTGGTTGTTGTTGTTGTTGTTGTGTGATTTTAAGTCAGAAGGCTGACTCACTGGTGGGTTTTCAGAGGCGGTTAATCACACGAGAGGAGATTATTTATTCTTCTCCTGCAGAGCAGCTGGTGGACTTGAACTGTGCACCTCATCACAATGGCAGCACAATTTCTTGCCATTAGGCTGCCAGTGTTCCCTGGTGTCCACCACCCTGCCCAAAAATGTGGTAGTGTAGTAAAAACTTTAGTATTTTCTATCCACTAAATTTTTTTTTTAAATCCCGTTCATCCCTTCCCACTAAAATGTCGTGTGCCATTTTCACGTCCAATCACTAACACGGATAATTGTTGTTGTCAGATTCTGTTGCATCAGTTATGACTTGCAGCGACGCTGTGAACGACAGAAGTGGACCCTGTTCTGTCCTGTGCCATCCTCATCGTGTCTGACACACCAAAGCTCATTGCTGATATCACAAGGTCAATCCATCTCACGAGGGATGAGTGTCTTCCTCTTTATGTTTACCAAGGAGTAGCCTCAGC